CGAGTCTCCCAGAGACGGGGAGAGGAGGGCGAATGTGTGGAGGCGAGAGCCAGAGCCCGAGCGGCTTGCTGCTAGGGTTTTTAGTCAATGACAAACTTCGGGCTTTAAGGCCAATACCGACCGTGGATTGCATTTCCTGATCTAGTACTAAGTTCAAATGGGTTTAGAAAGTCAATGAAATCTTCATTGGGATTAGTCTGAGCCAATTTAGCAAGAATCAAGTTCAAATCAAACCCAATTCGACTCAACTCGAGTCAATTTAAGTTCGACTCGACTTGACCAAAATTAGTTCAATAAAATAATACAAAATTAAATCAAACTAAAATTAATGTTGATTCAAATCGAATGAGGCCCGACGAGGCTCGATCAATTCAATCAAGCGCGTCCGATGGCAAATCGGGAGAAAAACGAGGTCAACAGGTTTTACTTCCCCAACATTGTTTAATTCATTTTATATTTTTTTAATTTGCTTTTTTTCCTAAAAGCATTTTCTTATGGCCATTTTTTAGGAACGAGCGCAATTGATCTGAAATTAAGCAAAAACAGCGTTTAGGGATTAAATTTAAAAAGAAGCAAATATGCCAAACGGAATGGCGCATTCAAAGAATGCGCCGAACATAATGGCGCATTCTTTGAATGCGCCGAACTGGTTAGCGCATTCCTTGAATGCGCGGTTTAGTACAGCGTATTATTCATATTACGCGGTTATATTCGGCGCATTCTGCATTATAACGCCTTCCCTTATCTCCCCGCTATCTCTTATCGCCCAGTTGTCGCCATTGCAGAGATTTCCGGATTTCTTTGTCCTAAAGCCCGACCAGATCCGTCCATTGCGCGCTGTCTTGGTGGGGAAATAATTGAGGCATTTAATTTTGTGTGGTTGGGCAGACGAGCGCATCGGCTATAAATAACGCTTGAGTTGAGGAGGGAAGGCACACCTTATTTCATCTGAAGTTCTCCGTTTTTTAGCTGAAGTGCAGGTACTTTTAATTTATCTTTAGTTTGATTTGTTTATTTTTTGTAAGTAAAGTAGATCCATTAAGTATTGTTGAGTTTGTATAATGTGAATGTTTAAATTTTTTTCATTTTTAAGACGTTGTACTATTTAGGCTAATGTAATTTCTTATTTGTACATGCATGTTTGAAGATGTTGCAAATAAGTTATCTTGTTTAATACTTGTTGATGTTAAAGAAATAGTGTGGCTTTAATTTTTGTAGAATATCGTATCTAGTGGGCTATAAATTTTTCTTTGAAGAAGTTGCAAAAAGTTTGAATAAAGTAATGGGCTGTAAATCTACCGTATCAACATTGGCCGGACTTTGAACACCCAAAGAAACTTATATGGAACAATGATATAATTAATTTCTTAGTTGTTCTCCCATAAGAGATAATATCCGATGCTTAGTAGTTCACTTTATTTAATTGTTTTAATGACTTAAGCTGTATAGAATCTGGGGGTCAAAATGCTAGTTCATTGCAGATGGGTATAGATCAGGTAGCTGAATTGTCTGCCCGAGTTCAACAATCAGTTTATATCGACTACACTACCTTCGATACATCCACTGAGGCAGAGCAACAAAGGAGAGAACGTGCAGACACTTCTCATGGCCAGCAGCACACTAGACGATCTGTTTCAGATGCTCCTTCCACATCGATGGGAACTAGGCACCGACGGAATGTGGTGCCGGACCCGCATCGGCATTCCGTTCATACACCATCCATGGCCTACGATTACATGGGAGCAGGTACTTCAGCACCACATTGGAGCCCGCACGTTGAACAGTATACTCAACCAGGACAAATTTATTATGACACACAATACAGCCAAACCAGTGGGCAATCATTATTTCCAATGGTCATTCCACAATGGATGTCATCAGTAGGAATACCTTCATCCCCAACGCAGCAGGACATGATATTAACGGGTGGTATTCCTGCTGAACCAGGCACACAACTTTCGCAGCAACGCGCCGAGGTAGAGCAGGAGGAGACTGAGGTATCAGAGGAGCCACAATTACAGAGGAGAAGACGCAGGCCACCTAACAGATTTACTCCAGGGAGTGGGGCATTACCTAGGCATCGTTAGAATGAGATTTGAGATGTGTTGTTGGGCTGATCTTTGGTAAATGAGTAAATGTTATAGAAATTTAATTCATAATATGTAATGTGCTTATTAAATTGCCTGCCTATTCAGATGCAGTAGTTACAAGATTTTTTCCTCTATCGATTTAATTTTATGCTGCATTACATTGTGATAAATAATAAAGAAAATTTTTACATTACTCAAGGTCTTCTGCGAATTCTTTATGTCAGATTCATTATTCAAGGATGTACTCCAACAACTTAGATGAAAGCAGCAGTACTGAAATCAAACAATGGATTACAGAGGGTACCATACGGGTGCGTGGAAGCTTATCTTATGGTGTCGATGAGGACCTTGAAGCTAGGGTAGCATCAAATGAGCTATTCAGGTGTATTATCCATACTTGGGATGAAGAAGAATATTTCTTATTGTGGCACTTACACGAAGATACGATGAAGGAGAAGGAATATAGGGGTAACCATGCACGTCGAGAGTTGGGCTGGAAATGTATACAAGAAGGCTTTCCAATTTTTAAGCACCACCTAGTGGGAATAGATTTCCTAAAAGGTCGATTTCTAGAACTTGGTCGTACTAAAGAAGGTGACATTGAACCCGGTTTGGGAAGGTCTATGATGGATATAGACAATTGTATTTTATACTCAAACTGGAACCCTCTACATGATAAGCACATATTAGAGTCATTTAAACAGTTAACGCAGAGTACTAAACATGCTAAACCAAAGGAATTTCTCAATGGAGAAGATTGGCAGCAAATATAACAACAATTTCAGATCGACTTCAAGTGTTGTCCTACACAAACACAACTGCAAACATGTCTACGATATCTATTAAATAAAATGAAGTAGTGCGTTCAAAAAAATTAATATAATAAGTTCAGCACCACTCCTATTACCATGATTCGAAAATGTACTTTTTGGTGTTAAACAATCTTCAAAAATGTACTTCTTCTTGTTATGTTCATGCTTAATATCTATGAATTTTGTTAGTACTCAACTTATAATTTCTTTGGTTAATTGGACTCTTGCTCTTCAAATCATTATTTCCAAAAAAATTATTTCATATTAATTTTCTACTGAGTACTCAAATTGCATTTGATAAATATTCAGTATATCATGTCATCCGCACCAAGGACATCCTCAATCAAGCGCTCACCATCACGGGATTTCCTACATATTATTCCAAGAAAAAAGTTAATCTATAATGGTACTATTCGATTGGCAAACTCTATCTCATATCCCATGGATGATTTCTTGGAGGAGAAAGCAAGAGCGAATGAAATTTTTCGCTGTTGTTTACATGAATGGTCTTGGTATGAGGACGATAATTTATGGGACGTATATCATGAAGTTATCAAAAGTCGTTATCCAATGTATGTTGATGGAGAAACAATTACTGATATGGGTTGGAAATTTGTACGACAAAAATTTAGGGATCATAATGGTCATTTTGCACCTATAAGTATTCTTAGAACAAGAATTGGTGAAATCGCACGATCAAAAGATGGTTCTGTCGTGGTAAATGTTGAGAATCCGATAGCTGATGTGCAACATTGCATCCTTTACAAAAGTTGGCATACAAATCAAGATGCATTTCTATCAGAAAAATATCAAGAGCTGAATATTACAGATGGTAAAAAAAATAAAGAGTTCTTAAATGGCAAAGATTGGCAAATGATCCAAAAGCAGTTCACAGAAAAAATTCTTATGTTGTCCAACTTTAACCCAGCTGCAAGCACGTATGCGCATAGTATTGAGCCAGATGTAATACTATTTTTTTCGAAATTGCTTTCGATCAACATTTTATGTATTAACAACTAATTTTTCCGATATTGCATAACATTGAGCCTGATGTAATAGGGAATGGTTGTTTTAAAAAAAATGCTCATCTTTTTTAATTCATTACAAAGAAAATTGGGTTCTAATGATTGTGTTGTAATTTAACATTTCTTAAAAACATTAAAATATTAAAATTAATAATTAATAAAAATTACTATTTTAATAAATACTTAAAATAAATTATTACATTAACATTTAATTATAATAATTTATCAAATTTATAATTAAATAAAATAAAATATTAAATTTATAATTATTTAAAATAAGCTATAAAATTACTAACCATGATTTTTTTCCTAAAAGTTTTAAATCAGCCGGAAAGTCGAAGGAAAATCCGTCGAAAAAACGCCGGAAAACCTACTTACACCCATTTGTGGCTTTGATATGTTTTGCTTTGTTTATTTGTAAGATAAAGATGCAAGGGTGAAGGGAAGCAAGTAGAGAGAGAGAAAAGATATATGTATTATTTCTCTAAAATTTTCATAATAAATTCTTGATATGGTGTGGCTCCATAATTTTTTCCAAGTTTTAGATTTTTCCACTTTAAATCCTAGTTTTTTTTTCGCATTATTTTCTATTTCTTTTTTTTTTTCATTGCATGGTTTTACTTCGCAAACATTTTTTAACTAATTTTACATTTTTTTTTAATTTGCTTTTTTCTTTCATAAAAGCATTTTCTTATGCCATGGTTTCTTTAAAGCATTTAGGGCATTTACAACCGACAAACTCATTTTTCACTCCAAAATACAGTAATACGTCAAAATGCAGTAATTTGTCTCCAACCGAACTCCATTTTCTAAGACCAAAAACATAATATTTATAGTATATTCTTTCACATACTTCATTTTATATAATTTTTGAATAAAAAAAAACAAATGGCCAAAATACAGTAATACGTCAAAATGCGACGTCAATATTGCTGACGCACTGTTCACATGCGATGAAATAACGTCAAAATTGCCGCTCGGTAGGGACGACGAAAGAACGACAAACGGGTGTTTGCAGTTCCATTAAAAATGCCCTTAATCAGGTTAATTATTTCCAGCCAACAAAATGCACGGCTCGGATTTCTTTCATTATCCGTATATCCAGCTTCTTCTCTTTGGCCTCAGCTCGTCATTCATCTCTCTCTCTCTCTCTCACTCTCTCTCACACACACGCACGCATATAGAAGAGAAGTAGATGGCCATGGTTTATTCGCTTACAAGAGCACCCTATCCCTGCAAGCTCTCTTCCTCGGAGTTACTTGGCACAAAAAAGGGGAGGATACATGCATCCAAATCAGGATCTTCAGCCATTAGTCAGGTAAGCAGCCAGTTTTTCCATGGAATATTAAGTAACCATTTGCATGCACATTTTAGTCTTTCTGCCTATTTTTCATAAGAAAATATAAATCAATTGACTAGTCCCAAAAAGATTCAGATGTGATGTAGAACAAGGAACTCTTCATAAAACATAATCAGAAAGAAGAAAGAATGGAGCGACAGTTCACAAAACTTTCTTGCAATTGCCTGTATATCTATTGTGAACTGCCCTTACAAAAGAATATAATATATTTTTAACTCTACAGATCAGTAATTTTTTCTGTTTTTGTTTGTAAGTTGTAACATTTACTGATCAAATAACTACGGCTGTCAATTTAGCTCGATTTTTCCAAACATTCTTGCAAGAGTGGATAATTAGCTCGAATTCAGTCCAGCTGATTAAAGAAGTTATAATATAATTATGGATGTCTGCAGACTTCTAAAGGTTGCAGGACTTGCCGTGGTCGTGGAGCAATTGAGTGTCCTGGCTGCAAGGTTATTCTTTAACTAGCTCTGTTATCCCCATTCCTTCATTAAAATGTAATTAACAAAACAAATTAGATTTCTTTGTATTGTAACATTTCATTGCATGCAGGGAACTGGAAAGAACAAGAAAAATGGCAATATTTTTGAAAGATGGAAGTAAGTTTCTTCAGCCATTAATTAGCAAATTCTACTAGAGTTCTCTTTACTCTTTGGGATTTTGTGATGTTCTCATGATGGTTATTTTTTGGGCTTCCAGGTGCTATGATTGCCAAGGGTTTGGCTTGAAGAGCTGCCCCAATTGTGGCAGTGGAGGCCTTACGCCTGAACAACGAGGGGAAAGATAGAAATTTTATGTATTAGATCTTTGTAACGTATTGTGATTGTAGTGAATGCCTGTGATCACTGCTAAGATATGAAATATTTTGTGAGCTCAGTGAAGGCCCATGTTAGTGATTCTAATTTGATTTCCTATTTGTTTGCTGAGATGCATCTTATACTTTGATTTTGCCCTAAAATAGCTTGTGATTAATTTTGGTATTTCAACAAGGTATGCTGTGACAGAAGCTCTTTATTTAGGCTTCATTTGGGACGGTTTTCTTCCTGATTCTTAAAGCAGCTTTTCAGTACTAAAAAGCCACTATAAAAATAGTAAAAAAGCCGTCCCAAGTGAAGCCTTAGTAAGGTTAAGGTGGGGTTGTGACTTTTGTACTTCATACATAGTGAATCATACTAATCTTGAGGTTTTAACGTACATCTATTATTCTAATTAGCAACCCTAATGATACTGATCTCAAAGCCGTTGGCATACATTTGTTTAAGTCAATACTAACCTTGGGGCCTAATCATACTTTAATCCCTTAATCATCCTTAGAGCATGATAGTTCAACATATAATCCAAATAGTGAGATGGTTTAATTTTTCATCCTTTGATCAGTGGCAGGGTCAAAATACTCTCAATCAAGAGTCATTTTGGTCTGGAGCAAAATTGATATGTGACATGAATTAATTATCCACCGCACATTTTGCTTATGTATCAATGTATATTTCATATTAATATTAGTGGGACCACCAAAAATTCAAATTAAATGATTTAGATTTAATTGAGTAATATTGATGTAGGAAAATAATGAAGTCATTGAGAAGATACTATTGAAGAGGGAAAGATCCAATGAGCCTAAATCTTCATCCCCAATGCAAAAAAGACCAATATGAAACCATATATATTACCCTACTTTAATAAAACATTCATTAAAACCTCACATCTTCTAAGGAAATACATAGATAAGTTAAGGGCTTGATAAGATGATGTAACAATTATCTTTCCCACCTGAAGTTCTCACACTTGTTTGCTAAGAACAATCTATTGAGTTAGTCTACCTATTAAAATAGTTCAAGTCCTTATGTGAACCAACTAAATCCAATGAGCCTATATGATATGGACATTTTTTTTACTCATATCTATCTTCCTTACTAATAGATCAAGAGCTCCAAAAACAAAAGGATATATTCTTATTTGCTTATAATTTCATGTACCTATAACGGTTTTAGAGGAGAAAAAAGGTACACAATATAGTGCTTATAAGATTTAAAAAAATAAAAAAGCTCTTCGCATTGTTTAGAATTTTTTTTTTATATCAACTACTTGCTCCATGTCAAAACAATCAGTCCTTGTAATTCATGTTTGTCTTGATGAGAGCCTTGCCTTATGCTTCATCACATCTAGAGGAGACTTATATGGGTCCTAAGATTCTCTCTTTTATTGGTATGGTAACTTGAGAGAGCCTTATAATCTCATTCTTTCTTGCTTAGTTACTTTTTCTCTTCACTTAACCACATGTGAACTACTTGAAACAAAGCCCTCTTTCATGCTATGTCTTTCTCATAACTCCTCATATTTCATATCTTTAAGAGTTCATAAAATGAATTATCACATGAGTTAGCTCAATATTGTTGAATTAAATTTAAACTTAAAGTCAATCAATTAATCAAAACTCAAACTCAAAATAAGCATGATAAAGACTAAGATTTTGTTTGGGATAGCTTTCTTGTTGCTTTCTAAAATGACTTTTCAAAAAGATTTTGTACAAAAAAGTTATTTTAAAAATCAATAAAAAGCTATCCCAAACGGAGGAGTCTAAAGCTAATTTAAATGAGATTTTTTTTGCGAGCTTACCTAAGAAATTATTGCACTAATATTTTCTTATTGTTCTTAATTCTAGCTGATATTAGTATTCTAGATGATATTAGTATTAACATGATATTAATATTAATTTAATATTGATAATATTAAGCACAAAATTATTCTAGAGTAATAATTTTTTTTTAATTTATTAAATTAAAATTAATAATTTTTTAATAATGTTCAGCACTAATTTTTATTGTTTAAAATTTACAATGTCAACACTAACTAATGTTAAAGAATATTACAAAATATTAATTTTAGCTCTCAAAATTTTTTTTTCCAAGCAAATAAGAAAATATGCGCTCTGTGATATTTTTCCATGCTTGTTGCAAAACTAGCAAGACGTGGCTCATTTGCATTCCACCGAAAAACCAGCCAAGAAGATGGATATTATTACCCCTGATTTTGCTCAACTAGAAGCAAGGCAATAAAATTTAAAAAATATTTATTTATAAAAGTAATATAATTATTTTTTCATTATAAAACTGTTTAAATAAATTTCGAATAATACAGTTAGTTATAACTCATGTATTTATTTTATTTTATTCTTATTAATTTAATATTGATTTATCTAAATATATAAAATTATTATTTTCCTAACTGATATATATAATAAGAAATTTTAGGTAATTTTATCAAAATAATAAAACAATTTCATAAACAATATTTTACAGACGGCGGTAGAGAGAAAGGAGAAGTTTTTATCCTTTATCGTCCTGTTCAGAAAGATTCAGCTCCGCCATGGCCTGCGCTTCGCAGTCGTTGATATCTGCGAGCAGCTGCGCGTTCTCATCTCAGAGGATTCTCTCAAAGCCTGGATGGCCCAAGAGAAAGACGGCAAGCCTCTTCTCTGTGAACGCTTCGTCCAGTACCGAAGAATCGGATTGCAACGTCGATGAGTGTGCCCCTGATAAGGAGGTATGCGCACTATCAACCCTCTCTCTCTCTCTCTCTCTCTCTTTTCAATGTATCTTATTTTAGCTTCTGGTTGCTTGTACTGATCTTTTTCATTTGGGATTGTTTCCCCAATCTTCTTTTAGGTCCACTCATGTTAAATTTCTTTTTTTTTTTTAATATTCTTGTTAGAAAGATTTCTTGTGTTTATTCCTAATTATAGTGTGAGTATCCTTTTGTGAATTCCTGCTACTCTTAGGGCTTGTTTGGTTGCAAGTTTTGGCCATAATTTAGGCTAAATATTGTTAAATGGTTTTTTGAGCTACATGAATCCTACTAACATCTTAAATTTTTATTTTCCTAGCGTTTTATTTCGGATTTAGTAAGGTCATGGGAAGTAGGATTTAGGAGATTTATACCACTTCTTCTCACATTGTCTATTCTATCTTTCATTTAATACTAAAATTTGAAAATATCTGTGAAGCAATTTACTAGGATTTAACATCGGAAATGCCAGATAGTTTTTTGGATTTAACACCTCCAGTATTTCCTGAATCTGGATTTATAAAATTTACTGAATCTTACTCGGATTAAATCCTACTTGTAGCTAAACATGCCCTAAATGTGGAACTTTACGCCTTGTAAGAGAAGGATATTATATAAGTATTAACATGCTGCTAATAACATATTTGAACTGCACACTTCTTATGGCTTATGCCACCGGTTTTAATCTTCTGCTCTGCTCTTTCATTGTTCTATCCAACAGTAACTTTTTAGATCCTAATTCTCTTATTTTGATTTTTCAGGGGAATTTACATACATGCCACTAAATTCTTTGGTATATATAACACCAATATCTTTATATTTATGTATATAACATCTTAATATCTAAATCATATAAAAAAATACCACTAACATTAATTTATCAAAATTGAAATATAGTTTTTCATGCATATATATATATATATATATATATATATATATTATGTGTGTGTGTGTGTGTTAGACCGGTCCACGCAGGACCAGCCCAGGCGCGCGCAGCGGAAGTGTTTTGTCTGGGCGGAGGCTGCTCGCCTTGCGGGAGCGTTTTAGGAAGAAATTTTGAGGAAGATTAGGAGATAATTTGAATGTAGGGACTATTTAAAGATTTCCTTTTGATTTGTATGCATTAAATAGTTGATTTTCCTAGGGTTTGATCATCTTGAATTTGGCTGAAAATTTGAGATCTCTTAGATTTAGGTTTTCTTTGGGCTATTGGCGTTGCCAGAGATTTGGGAGAGATCGATCTTCCTCTCGAATTGAGGATCAATTGTATCTTGGTTTCAAGTATTTCCTATCAAATTGGTATCAGAGCATCGATTTGGGACCTTAGGCGGCTGAAATCTTGATTTTTCAGCGAGCTTTTGGTTTCCAGAAGTGAGTTACTGAGATCCGTTGGGAAGAATGATGGCCAAAAAGAAGGTAGAAGTCTTGGAAGGCGAAATCGGACAATTGAAATCCGATTTGGAGGGAAGATTCTTCGACTTTCAAAATCAAATCACCTCCAACAATAAAACTTGGAGGAGAAGTTCACCGTGATTGAAGAAATGATGAAGAAATTACTTGAAATGAAGACCAATACGGCGACATCGGAAGTAAGAGAGACCACCGACGGCCATGACATGGGAGGAAATCCAAACCCGTTGCGGGGGAGGAGTAATTTGGAGGTGGAGATCCTGGAGGAGGAGAACGACATGCCCTCTCTAGAACCGCTTTCTAGAAGAGAGATGAGTAGAGGATACGACAAACGGGAGGTTGATTTTGTCGGAAGAAGAGAAGAATTTCATCGTCCATGTGCTGAATTTGAGAGAATCCAGCGTGGAGGTGCTGATTTTAAAGGGAGAAGGGAGGAATTTCATCGCCGAGGTGTTGAATTCGAAAGAGTTCAGAGTCGAGGGGCTGATTTTGAAGGAAGAAGGGAGGAACTTCGTCGTCGAGGTGCTGAATTTGAAGGAATTCAGCATCGAGGTGATGATTTTGAAGGGAGAAGAGGAGAATATGAAGAAGGGTTCGGGTATAATCGTCGGAGGGAAGATCGTGACAGTTGGGGAGCACCTCATCTTCGAGGGATGGGAGGTTATGGAGGATTCAGGGGACACGGGGGAGACCCATGGGTGAGGAAGCTGAAAATGCCCGTCTTTGAGGGCGAAGACGGCCATGGCTGGATCTACAAGGTGGAGCGTTACTTCGCTGTCAACAGGCTGACAAAGGAAGAGAAGCTGACGGCGGCGGGATTGTGCTTGGAAGGAAATGCTTTATAACGGTATCAGTAGCGTGACAGGAGGGTGCCCATCCGGAGCTGGAGAGTACAAAGATTGCTTATTAGAGCGTTTACAAACCGATGAGGGAGGAGATTTCTATGAGCAATTCTTTGCCTTGACTCAGGAGAGGACTGTGGCAAATTACCGGGACAGGTTTGAGTACTTGGCTAGCAGATTAGATCACATTTCGGGGTCCGCCAGAAGAGAATTTCATGAAGGGGCTTAAACCTGAGATAAGAACAACGGTCAAGGTGTTGGAGCCGAGGAACCTAGGGAAGGCTATGGAGCTGGCGCAGTTGGTGGAAGATCAGAAGAAGTCAGAAAGAGGGGCTCGAGGAAACTATTCAGGGGGATCTTATGGGACGACGACCACTCTTCTAGCACCCAAGCGGCCTGCTTCATGCAACATTAATAAGACCACCAGGGAGAAGCCAGTAGGAGGGAGTGAGGAAAATTTCAAGAGGATGACAGAGAAGGAGATGCAGGATAAGAGGACAAAGGGGTTGCGCTTTAGATGTGATGAGAAGTACATGCCGGGGCATAGGTGCAAGGACCGAACTCTTCAGGTTCTCATTGTCTGTGAAGACAAGGAAGATGAGGAGGGAGGTGGGAGCAGATCTGAAGAGGGGAAGCTGCACCTGGATGTGGCAGAAGTCTCTCTGAACTCTGTAGTGGGATTCACTCCGAGTCACACTATGAAAGAAAAAGGAGAGATCTCTGTTTAAAATTGCGCAATAAGAGGCGCGCCTTGAGGCTGCGTAATTTGACCAAAAAAAGCCTCGAGGCTTACGCAATTCCTCACATGACAGAGGCGTACGCCTCACCTGGTCTGAGGCGCGCCTCATAGGGGCAATTGCGCAATTCTGGGTGAGGCGTACGCCTCATAGAAATGGCCCCACCTACTTAAAATGAATCCTCTTCTTCCCTTCATCCCGCACGGGTTCCCTGTTTTCCGAAAATTTCCTTCTCTGTTCGCGAAACAGACGGCATACCGCACCGTCGGCTTCCCTTCCCGCCGCCTCTCCAGCCGGCGCCGCCTCTCTCCGGCGAAGTTGAAGTGTCTGGCCTCCCTCTAGGAGTACTCCACAAAAGATTCCCTTGAATACCCATTTAGTGATGGGATATGATTGCATTTTATATGTTCTTTGTACTTTGGGAGTTTTGTTAAATTAATATTTTGTGATTTTGTACATTGGGACATGATTTTATTGCATCTATTTTCTTACTTTTCACTATTTTATTATATCATTTAGATGTTTTTATTATAAGATAGAATATTGCTATTATTTACCTGCTAAAATCCTTAATTTCTCATTTACGCAATTCTGTGTCCGTGAGGCTTTCGCCTCAGACCGCCTCGAGGCTTACGCCTCGCCTCACGGACGAAAACCGCCTCGAGGATTAATTACGCAATTTTAAACCTTGGAAGAGATAGCTGGCCGTGAGGTGGTGGTGCTAATTAATAGCGGGGCTACCCATAATTTCATTTCCACTCAGGTTGTCAACCAACTAGGAGTGAAATTGGTGGACACCGGTTGTTATGGGGTGATGATGGGTATAGGGAAGGTGGAGAAAGGCCAGGGAATCTATAAAGGAGCGGTGTTGACCATACAGGGGATTCAAGTAAGGGGGGACTTTCTTTCATTAGAGTTAGGAAGCACTGATGTCATCCTGGGGATGAAGTGGTTGCAAACCTTGGGGGAAACTAAGGACAATTGGGGAGCACTCACGATGGAATTAATAATGGATGGGAGAAGGATGGTCATAAGGGGAGATGCAGGGCTATCAAAAGCCATCACATCACTTAAGACCATGGTTAGGGACGTACAAGAGGTGGGGGAAGATTATCTGGTGGAACTACACAGGCTGGATGCGATCAGATTGGAATAGGGAGGGAATGTTTCTCTTTCAGTGCAGCCCTTGGTTCAGTAATACATTAAGGATTTTCAGTCCCCTCAAGGATGGCCACCTCCACCGGAACACGAGAATATCTCCACCTTGAGGACAAGGTGGATTTTCGGGAGGGGAGTATTGTCAGACTGATCCAGCCGGTCCACGCAGGACCAGCCCAAACGCGTGCAGCGGAAGTTTTCAGCCTGGGCGGAGGTCGTGCGAGCCGCTCGCCTTGCAGGAGCGTTTTATGAAGAAATTTTGAGGAAGATTAGGAGGGAATTTGAATGTAGGGACTGTTTAGGGATTTCGTTTTGATTTGTATGCATTAAATAGTTGATTTTCCTAGGATTTGATCAACTTGAATTTGGCTGAAAATTTGAGATCTCTTAGATTTAGGTTTTCTTTGGGCTCTTGGCGTTGCCAGAGATTTGGAGAGATCGATCCTCCTCTTGAATTGAGGATCAATTGTATCTTGATATTTTATTCATCTACTAGTGAAATACAAGTCTTGACTTGAGTTTTCTCTCTAGTTTTTGTTGTTTTCCTGTGATCACCTGCTGTCCACCGCTGTAAACAGCAGTTGTTCTTGCTGTTTTACTTCAGATTTGGCTAGGAACTACTTGAAATCAAGTATTTCCTATCAACCCACAAAACTTTATTCAAGTTTCCTATAGTTTTTTGAGATCTTTTCTCCCATTTTGATGGAAAGTGTGGTCTTGACCGGTAATGCTCTTTTGCAATGCTTGTTATTCAAGATTATTTTGAAGGTATCCAGTATTTATGCTGCCTGGACCTCTGAAAAGGAAACCATGATGTCGATGAAGTACTAGGATTTTAGTTTTAGCCACAAATTGAAGAGGATGAAGTGATAGATTCTGAGTTATTAAATAATTAAAATTATGTAATTTATAAATTAAATTATTAAATTTCTGTTCAATTGAATATATGTTGATGTGTGTTAGTTACTGATTCATTATCATTTATATGCTTTCTTATAATAAATATTTAAAATGAGGAGCTTTGATGTTTTTTTTTTTTTGTAGATGGCATAATTTTAGTTGATGAGACATGAAAATATGCTAAAAGTTAACATGGGAGAAAATGTTTAGATGATAAAAAGCTTAGGATTGGTAAAACAAAAATTGAGGGCATGATATATAATTTTAGTGGCTGTAAGAGTAAGAGTAACAGTGATTAGTTAGTTTGATTAGAAGATAAAATGATACATAGTTCATATATGTTTAAGTATCTTTCATATATTATTATATCTATAGGACCAATCTTCCTCTTGATAAGATCCGCTCAAGATATGGATAAATTTCCCATTTTAATATGGTTGTAAATGAGCTGAGAAATATGACCTTGTTCAAGCTCGTTCATTTATTTTTTTATTTATTTCACATAATAGAGCTTTAATCAAATATAACTGATTATAAGTTTGATGCTATTAGTTAAACACTCAAATTTGACTCATGAATCCAAATTGACACCCGAAAATGACCTAACATGAAATTGAACCAAAATGTTCATTTTCGATTATATTTTACTATATTTTGATTTGGTTCGGGTCATACTTATCGACAACAAATGGTGCGACTTAGCGCAAAGTTTCCTATGGAGCCATAGCACATAACACATAGTGCGACACATGCTATATTAAACATGATGCATAATATTATATATTTATTATTAAAAATATGTATAAATATGAAGTATTATGATAGGAAATACTTGATTCCAAGTATTTCCTAATCACTTTAGTCAAAGATCTCACAGCAAAACTGCTGTCCACAGCAGGAAATCAGCCAAACAGTGGGAAAAACACGAGAAAAATGATAGAAACACGAAGTAAGAACTTGTATTTTACTAGAAGATGAAAGGAAAATAGCAAAGATACAAGGATCCTCTATTCGAGAGGAGGATCGCACTCTCCCAAGTCTCTAGAATACGATCTAGAGCCCAAATCAACAAGAAGAACAAGAGAAAACTTCAAAACAATCACATAACCCTAAACCACCCCATTACTCCCTACTTAATGCATACAATTCAAAATAGACACAAAATGACCTAATTGCCCTCACTTCCCTTCGTTTTGGCTCCAAGAAACCATTTGAAATTCAAAGGGGCCCCACCTCTAGCCTCCTTGCGACTTCCGCTCCTTTCTCCGCCCGCCTCCTTCGGTAGACGCGAACCGGCCCGCTGGATTGGGCCGGCTGGACCGGTCCAGGGAGGACCGGTCTAACATATTAATATGAAGTATTAAGAGTATTAAAAACATGTACAACAAATTGTTGATAAAAGCGTGCATTAGATATGCAGATAAATACATAGCTGAAGGATCATGAAGAATCATGGGTTGTCTGGAAGTAACATTAATGAAAATATTTCTTAAAGATTTACCTAAAATAAGTTTAACACCTCATGTAGCACTCAACATGAATCCATGATGATGATGATGATTATATTTGGTGCAATCTTATTCATATGCATTTTTGGTACATTATCAAATATTCTCTAAATTAGTGCTCAAGCTATATCATAATCACTTATTATTGTTAATTATAGTTAATTATTTTGTCATAAACTAGTATGTTCCCTCATTATTAGAATTATAAAAATGGCTCGATGGTTGGTTCGGTGTGTTATACTCCTATTCAACTAGTTGAGCCCTCACTTACTCCTAGCTAGGGCTGTAAACAAGCTTGAGTGAGCTTACTTCATATTTATACTCATCTTGTTACAATTTTCATTTATTTGAAATTGGCTCATGTTTGAAATTGTTTGTGAGCATCGTGTTCATGTTCGGCTTATTTGAATTTGAGTCAAAATCTAGCTAAATGCTAGCTGACTTTAAACAAATAACAATTTAAACATGATAGAATCATTCTATTTGTCTACTATATATGGGAAAATTTTGAGTCAAGATATACTAAATAATTTTTTGTTCATGAAAGTCTTTAAGACCCTTGGATTCACTTTGAGATGAATGCAATATAATTTACTTATATATTTCAATCATTTCAAAACAAATCCAAGGTTTTTCAAAGTTTATCACAATGATTTTTTTTTCTCAGGATATCCTGATACACAAATTTTTCTTTCTTTATTTATTGATTTGTTTTTTAGTCAATAATGAGCTAAACACAATTGGACAAGGCTCTATTTGTATTCAACTCATTAAGAAAATGAGCTTAAAATAATTATTCAATATCAACTTGCTTATCTGATGAATGAACTGCACATAAACTTTTTATCAAGCTGAATGCACGTTTTTTGAAATTGATAAGCTTTTTTGATATGCCTACTTACTCCAACTCAATGTTCATTGTTTGGCTAATGATGATGATTGCTGAAGATCTTATTAATATGCATCATTGGCAGCATGAACAATTATCAAATATTCTCTTAGTGCCCAATTTGTATCATTTTCACTTATTAATTGCAAATTATAGTGTACTATTTACTTATGAACTATGATGCACGGACACAGACACGGTGAAATGACACGACACGGACACGGGACATGGCTTTTTTTTTAAATATAGGACACGGATACGGCGTGGACACGACAATACATTTTTTTTAAATAGTGTATATATATTAATGTAATATCATATTAAAAATGACAAACAATAATAAAAGAATGATATGATAGCTTGTCTAACTTATAATATAAAATATTTAGTACAAAATATCTAATACAACCACAAAAATATAAGCAAATAATCACTTACTACAACATCAAGCATTCAAGCTTCAACTACTAGGATTAGCTTTAGAGGTTTGTTTTTGGTCTTCAATATCATCATCATTGAATATCACTAATTTCAACTCTGGTTCAACAAGAGAAAGATTTGTAATTGTACAAAAAGAGAGGAGATGAAAATACCTTCATTGCCAATGAAATGAAAACGAGAATATTCGATGAATGGGTATTAAATGTAGACGTTGATTTGGTGTTGTGGATAGGAAATAAGAAATTTATTTTAAATCTCGCCAAACATAAGAAATTATATATTTTTTAAAAAAATTATAAAATATTTAAAATACACATGTCGGACACGCGTGTCCAATTAGTTTTTAATATATATATTTTTTAATCAGACACGTTTTCGGTGTGTTCGACACGTGTCGGAGGAGTGTCGGACGAGTGTCGTGTCGGACACGGTGTCGGACACTGCACGCCTCTTTGAGGAGAAGTGTCGGTGCATCATAGCTTATGAACCAATCTAAGCCATCATTGTTGAAGCTATTAAAATAGCTTATTGTTTATGTTGGTGTGTTTAGCTCCAGTTTTACTTTTTTTAAACTCGTTTATTTAACAACATTTACACTAATATGGTCTTGTTTGATTTGTCCAACTTGATATAATTTAATTAGTATGTTTGTGTGCGTTAATGTATATATATATGTGGTGACATGTTTATTTTTTAATTCATATGAACTTTAGAACAATTTATATTCTACTCGAAAGAAAGTGAGCCAAACTCAAACAAAAAATTTCAATTCATTTGCTTAACAAACCGAGCCAAACAATACTTGAGCTTGCTCAAGCTTGGCTCGTTTATATCATTCTCACTTCATATGTTGCAGTATCATTCTCACTTCTTATGGTTCTTTGTTTGCTATGCAACTTAAATTCTGACTAAATGGCAGGAAACTAATCACACCCTTGTTATAATTTAATTAGTAACATTTCTTTTAAGTATTGTAATAAGTTCATATTTTTGTTTTATTTCTGGCCCAGTAATGGAACTATTGTCAAGCTTTATTAGCAGTTGATTTAATAATTGTGATCCATTATTGTATATACTGTTTTAATCACCAATCATTTTAGCTAATTAGTGTTTTGATTAGTGATCTAATTATTTGCTTATGGTAAATCGTTTAACTGACAAAAAATTATTATTTATTTTTTACCAACCATCTTATCATTTAATTCGTCTATATGCAAAAAAACTTTTTCAGAAAATCTTTAACATACTCCAAAGTTTAATATAAATGATTTGAAAATACTTGGCATTTCAAAAAATTTCAGTCCATCAAGCAATCACCACTTGGTGCATAATATGCTTTCCGGGTTAAAATAGCAAATATGGTAGCGTGCCAATTGCGCAAGAACAAACAAATTTGAATTATTTTCTGCCGTTGAAAACAGTGTATGAGATTCCAAACATGGAGAGTGTTTCTGGCCTCTATTCTCAGAGGTTGATAATTGTTGCAGTTGTTTTCTCCTTGTTTTCTGATAAAGAACTTTTATCTGGCTCAATCATGTAGCAGGGTTGCCCCCGACCTCCTTACTAATGAAAGATTTTTATTTCAGGTTGGAAAGGTGAGCATGGAATGGTTGGCTGGAGATAGAACTAAGGTTGTTGGAACTTTTCCTCCTCGGAAAAAAGGTTGGACTGGATATGTAGAGAAAGATACTGCTGGGCAGACAAACATTTACTCCATTGAGGTTGTGATTTGAACTGTTAAAGCTACGTTGTTTGCTGTTGAGTACATGTGAATTCATTTCTTCCCACATTGAAGCCTTAGGCTTTGTTTGGGACGGCTTTTTTGCTGCTTCTTAAAGCAGTTTTTTAATAAAAAAAATTAATTTTTATACTATAAAGATGCTTTAAGAAACTGTCAAAAAACCGTCCCAAATGAAATCTTAAACTATTCAAACGAACACAAAAGGAAATTTATATACTAAAATGTAAAATAAATCCTTGGTTATCAGAGTGAGGTTGCCATTTTTCATGAATGCATCATCTTTCTCAAAATGCTTGAGGATATCGTGCATGCCTATGCCTAGATTTTTCTTGACATGTATTCATCTATAAGATCCAAAGTGTGAGATTTGTTAGCAAACTTAGTTCCTTAAGGGCTTTGCTCGTACATAGAGAAAATGATGGAATTTGTTAGTTTAATCACTTTGTTAGGTTTAGATACAAATCAATGTGGATTTGAAGCTACACAAACCCGTCAGAAATTCATTTTCACGCTGAAAATGAGCAAAAACAAATCATCACATTCTTTCTACAAGCAACCAAAGGGACCCTTAGATGCAACCAATCCTTTTGTTTGACCAATAAAAGCAAATATGTAGTAAGTAGACTCTTTCAGATAAAATTTAAAGAATATTAACCAAAATATTTTTGTGAGTAAGATTTTACCCCACGTAGTGGGATAAAGGCTTGATGTTGTTGTTGTTGTTGTAACTTTAGTCTGATTTAGAATGAAGGGTGATAATTATTATCTCGTAAAACCCCATGAATTAGTTTTGGACCACTTCATTTATTAGAAGGGAATGCTACGACGGCCCACATAATCTACGATGCTAATGAATTTTGTAATCGTTTGTTGATCTGCTTGATAAACCTGATAATCTTTACTGGTTCTCCATTCCTCAGCCATCGGTGTATGTGGCAGAAAGTGCAATAAGCTCAGGCAATGCAGGTACATCAGCGGATGGCGCAGAGAACATAGCAGCAATCACTGCAGGTGTAGCTCTCATCTCTATCGCAGCAGCATCGTCCGTGCTTATTCAAGTCTACAAGAATGAACCACCAGTTCAGAGAGTGGATTACAATGGCCCTCCTTTGAGTTACTACATCAACAAATTCAAACCAGCTGCTACAGTGGAAGCTTTAGTCCCGCCTGCACCTGAAACCTCTCCATCCGTTCAAGCCTCAGTTCTTCCTGAATCTGCTTCCTCAACAGTCCAAGCTTCAATGGCTTCAGAATCCGAGATTTTGTCAGAACTGCAGTCTCAAGACAATGCAAATTTGGTTCCTGAAGTTCAGATGGAAGTGAAGGAGACTGTGGAAGCTTCTACTGGAAGCAATGCATCTTAGGTGATGACTTGCCGGGTATCATCCTGGCTTTCATGGATTTTGCATACATTTAAATGTATTTTCAGGTGTAATCTATAGCACACATTATGCAGTGATATGATTAAATTTGGGCTTCTTGTATACAAAAAATCATTTGCCTTCTTTTGTTTTTTTCTTTTTGCTGTTGTTTCCAAAGATAAAGTTGATCTGAAAGTTCTAATATCAATCCTCATGGCTCATCCCCACCCAAATTAGGGAAATCTCATGGCGTATTCTTGTGTTCATCGTTTTATGTAAAGAATTGCAGAGTTTTCTACATGTTTGCCTCTGTTGTATACTGTTACATATTGATTGATGGGCAAATTGTATCCTACAGTTCAGATGAAGTCAGAATGTGATGAGCAGACAGATGGTCAGTTGGATACTTGGATGTCTCTACCACGAGAAATTATTTTGTGCGTACTCCGCACGTAGAGGATCGTCTGTATGTTGCGTATGGACTATGTATGAACTGAGTATGAACTGCGTATTTGTAGATATGCAGCAAACATTCACTAAATATTCAATAATTACTCACAACTAATGATTGGCTTAGTATTTGCTGCATATATACAAATACGCAGTCCATACATCATCCGGACTATCCTCTTCATTCGGAGTTCGCACAGAATAATTTCTCCTCTACCACAGTTTCTTTCATATCTCATTATGAATCTGTTGTAATATTCAATAATCTGCTATATAAGACACATGTACCTCCATAAAACAAAGTTGAAAAAAAAAAACGATTATGAGAGCATAATTTATCCAAGTTGGAAAATTTTGAATAATTCATATTTATTTTCATTGGAAGCATCACATGAATAATTAATCTTAGTTTATTATTATTTTTTATTTGTTAGTTTATTCTTTATTTTTTTTATTTTGAAGACATGTCAATGATCAGAACTAAGAAGTTATTTCTTTGCATAAATGTTATATTTTATTTTTAAATTTATATTAATTTACTTGATTGTCATAATTTCAATGAAATCTGTCCTTATTTATTTATGAGTACAAGTTGGGTATATTATTCTTTCAATGAAATTATAAGTGTGAATTTTAAGGAAAGTCATCTTTTTATATCTGTGTGAGGCTTGATTTTTCCTCTTTGATAAATTAATTTCATTTTTATTTATTTTTATATGATCTGTTATTGGACAGTTTAGTGTTCTTGATTTTGATTAGAAAGTGATAATTAAGAAATATAATTTTGTGTAAATTGAATTTTTAAATTCTTGTTGAAATTATCTATTATTTATGATCATTTCATCATCAATTGAACTTGAAATCTACTATTTTTTATTTTCACTTAGAAAAATAAATTCCTTATAAAATTTATAACTTGGATTAATAGGAAATCTAATCGTGAGTACTCATCCTGCAAGAATTTAACAAGTTCATTTCTTTGTTTTTGTGTTTCCTGTTTGAGCAGAACAGGCATTCCGAACAACCATGTCCAATAAGTTGTTGGCAAATATTGGATAAGGTATCATGTTCATGGATAAGGTGCATGGTAGCCACGAAATGGATTAATTATTGTGCTACGATCATCGTCTGGAGATCAATCATAATGTGTCACATTAACCTATGCTCAATACCGAGGTTCGGTACTGCTAGGTACCGCAATTTGATAACATGACGTATTCTGATTGATTTCCAGATCACATTCTACAATGGGTCTCCGCCCAGAATAATTTCTCCTGAAAATGCATGGAGAAACAATAACACCGATCTTCTGTTTTGAATCATTCAGACTCATTATGGCTTGCATGGTCGCTTATCCTCCCACTTCTAGGTGGCGAAGGACCACCAGATGCTTCTTTGATTGGACCAAAAACCGCAGTGCAGAACAGCAGAAACCACAGCCTAAGTACCATGAGATCAGTCTCCCTTTCCCTCATTCTCTGCTCGCTAAAACTCACCTCAGAGGTAATCGCGGTTGGAAAGTGCTTATTGCTCTGCCTCTTTCTTTCTTTCTTTCTCCAGTGTCCAAGCTTGAAACTGTTTCATGGTGCATATTGGTTCTATATTTGTTGGTTTTTTTCAGGAAGGGAGCTCAAGTGCTGCTATTTAGCCTCCTCAGATGGCTTCAGTGCTAAAGACTTCCACAACCACTGTGATTTCAAAGGTCCTTGCGTGGTGATGGGCTACACTGACAAGAACTTCAAGTTCGGCGCATTCAGTCCTGAAGGATACCGAAGCACAGATGATTATTACGACACATTTGATGCTTTTTTGTTTTACTGGAAAGAAGATGAAGATGGGGGTGATGAGCCAATAGTTCTGTCCAAAGTCGGTGGCAGTGGCGCTGCGCTATTCGATTATGCGAGGGGAGGTCCTCAGTTTGGAGCCGATGGACTCCTGATTGGTCCGCCTATGGCACCGGTGATGGGAGGGTTCGCCGGACCTGATACCAACTCCGGCGTCGGAGATCTTCGGCAGGCGAAGTCGAGATTGGGTTTGTCTTATGCGAGGAGGGAGGATGGGAAAGAATCTCTATTTGGGGATGAGTCGAGGGCAAGTCTGGTTGAGGTGCAGGTGTTTTGTAGCCCACAGATAGCGAAGTTATACTAGCCAGGCTATTGGTGAGGGAGTACTGCTTATTCATACGAGCTATTTCTTACAGGAAATGTACTGAAAATTGTAGAAAGAACCTGAGTTAATTGGGAAAATTATTAGGTGCGGACATCGGATATAGAGATACATCCGGACATCCACTTAAAATTTGACATGTGGAGTGCATTTTGATTGTGCTTTTTTGTGCGCTTTATCTACGCTTTGCTTGTACTTTAGTTGCGATTTGACTGCTTTTTTATTATGCTTTTTACTGCATTTTACATGTGCTTTAGTTGCACTTTAATTGTGCTTCGGCTGCTATTTTGTTGGGCTATTTTACTGTGTTTTACTGTACTTTATCTGCTCTTTTGATGAGCTTGGCTTAAAGTTCCGCGAATACATTAATTATATAAAGTAAAAAATAAATACAACGTCCCACCACGTGTCAAATTTTAAGTGGATGACCGGACATATCTCTACGTCCGGTGTCTTCACCTAATAATTTTCCGAGTTGATTGGGAGAGTTTCATTATTCATAGCAAATATCACAATAAAAATCAAAAGAATTTCTGTTACAAATGGCTTGATTTCTTTGATAGCAAACGGCAAAAATCATCTGAGAATCAAAAGACACATTTTCCTAAAGAATGGAGAAATTTTAGAAGAAGACAACTTGAGCATTTCTTTGAAAAAGAATAATGTTAGAAAGATGTTTTTTTAAGGATCTTATAAATCTTTATAAACATATTCACAGAGATTGATGAAAATTAATTTAATATGTTGATAGAGCATAACATATAATTTTTAATTTTTATTGATATGATGGCCAAGCTATTTCATGTGAGTAAATTATAATAAAGAAGAGTGCTGAAAAAAAACTTAAAATTCAAGATTAAAAAAAATAATCATGTAAAGAAGCACGATAGATCAATTATACTTTAGAAAAACGCTTATGAAACTTACGAGATATAAAGATGTCTGAGATCAAAAGACACTCTCTATAGATACTGGACTTCGGCTACTGCTTCTTAAAACAGCTTTTTAATACATAAATTTTAATTTTTATACTAAAAAATTATTTTAAGAAATAATAACAAAACCGTCCCGAACGAAGCCTAAAATACCACAAATAATCACAACTATGGCTCATTAGAAATATAATAAAGGAGAAGTTAATTAGATTTGATCTTAATTTTGAGTTAAAAGATGATCAAATCAAATACAAAGAGTGCAACAATTTTGATTTATCCTAAGAGAACGCTCTGCCGTTTTGGGAGCAATATATATATATAAGAGGACCTCCAAAAGCATCCATTTAAAAGTTATCATCATACTAAAAAATTATTACATAGAAAAAATTCATGGATAATTATTATCTTTAACTTGACACTAGAGGACATATTTATAACTCTTTAGGTATTTATACTCAAGATTTTAAAATTGCATTTCACCTAATGATAAGCATGGATGAAATATTTTGAATACATATTGTGGAGCCCCTTTGCTTGAAACAACTTTCTTACTACTTAAAATAGTTATACAAAAATTTTAATTTTTGTATTAAAAAAACAGTTTTAAGAAGTAGCAAGAAAGCCGTCCCAAACAAAGCATAAAACTCGTGCGACAAAGAGGATCCAGATGCTTTAAGGCGCATCTTCAAAAGACAAGTCAATAGAAAATGATACAATAGAAGTTAACATTAACACTAACATCTGTCAGAATACAGTGACAACAGAGGCCAGGAGTTAACCCCCCCCCCAAAAAAAAATTCTCCAAAAATATGGCACGTCTAGATTGGATGTCCGGACGTCCGGTGACCGGACGTAATAATTCGCCTGTTGGTGAGGGAGTTCTGCTTGATTCATATGTAGTTCTTACAGGAAATGTACTGAAAATTGTAGAAAGAACCTGAGTTAATTGGAAAAATTATTAGGTGCGGACACCGGACATAGAGATACGTCCAGACATCCACTTAAAATTTGATATGTGGAGTGCATTTTAGTTGAACTTTTTCGTGTGCGCTTTAACTGCACTTTAGTTGCGCTTTGACAGTTTTTTTATTGTGTTTTATTAATGCACTTTACTTGCGCTTTAGTTGCTCTTTAATTGCGCTTTGGCTGCTATTTTGTTGAGCTATTTTACTGCATTGTTATTGTATTTTATATTCACTTTACTTGCACTTATACTGTGCTTTTGATGCGCTTGGCTTAAAGTTCCGCAGACACATTAAATATATAAAGTAAAAAATAAATACAACATGTCCCTCCACATGTCAAATTTTAAGTGGATGATCAAACGTATCTTACATCAGATGTCTTCACCTAATAATTTTCCGAGTTAATTTGGAGAGTTTCATTATTCATAGCAAATATCACAATAAAACTCAAAAGAACAGTTACAAATGGCTTGATTTCTTTGATGGCAAACGGCAAATATCATCTGAGAATCAAAAGACACATTTTTCTAAAGAATTAGAGAAATTTTAGAAGAAGACAACTTGAGCATTTCTTTGGATATAGGGTAAAAGGATAATGTTACAAAGAAGTTTTTTTTAGGATCTCATAAATCTTTATATACATATTGACAGAGATTGATGAAAATTAATTTTATATGTTGATAGAGCATAACATATAACTTTTATATGTTGATATAATGGCCTCAAGCAAAATTTATCCTCAATTCATTTAAAAGTTAGACTACTTCATGTGAGTAAATAATAATAAAGGAGAGTGGTGAAAAAAACTTCAAATTCAAGATTTTAAAAAAAATCATGTAAATAACTATGATAAATCAATTATACTTTAGAAAAATGCTTATGGAGCTTACGAACTACAAAGTTGACAAACTCAAACATGTTTGAGATCAAAAAACACTTTTAGTATAGACATTTGACTAAGGCTTCATTTGAGACCGCTTTCTTACTGCTTCTTTAATCAATTTTTAGTAAATAATTTTAATTTTTATAGTAAAAAACTAACCCAAAAAAACCTAAGAGACCACAAATTATCTCAACCATGACTCATTAGAAATATAATAAAGGACAAGATAATTAGATTTGATCTTAATTTGGAGTTAAAGATTATCATATCAAATACAAAGAGTGCAACAGTATTGATTTATCCTAAAAAAAAGCTTTGCAATTTTGGGATTTGGATCCTTTTAAAAGTTATCATCATATATAATTATATTAAATAGAAAAATTTCATGGATAATTATTATCTTTACCTTGACACTAAAGGACACTTTACATATATTTCTAACTCTTTAGGTAATTATGCTCAAGATTTTAAAATTGCATTTCACTTAATTAAAAAAATGTAAGCTTTTTGGGTCTTTTTGAACTACCGGAGCATTTTTGGTGTTATTAGCCTTGTTTGCCTTTTAGAGGGAAGCTGACATGCAACGGTGTAACAAACTTTTCCTCACAGAAGTTGAATCCTTTATGCCCTCAAGGCGAACCGAGAATAATTCATGGCATGAACGTCCGGTACATCGGAGCTATAATTGCCTGAAAAATAAATTCATTGGTGCGAACGCGATATTGGGGGCTCCATGTGGTGGTCGTTATGCTCTCGAGGGCATGCCCTAAGAAAAAGCACGGTCTGTATTTCGAAGCTGGATATGCCATGAGAAAAAAACTCGTTGGCACGCAAGAGAGAATAGGTGGAGGAGCTTTTGGCACAGATAGCATGGATAAAATATTTTGAATGCATATTGTGGAGGAGCTTTGCTTGCAACAACTTTTGGACTACTTAAAATAGATTTTTTTTACTAAAAAACTTGCTTTAAATAGTAAGAAAGCCGTCCCAAACGAAGCCTAAAACTCGTGCTACAAAGAGGATCCAGATGCTTAAAGGCGCATCTTCAAAAGACAAGTCAATAGAAAATGATACAATAGAAGTTAACATTAACACTTAACATCTGTCAGAATACAGTGACAACAGAGGCCAGGAGTTAAAAACCAAGACGAAGTGAAAAAACTAACAACACCTCCTACAAGTCGAGAATTGACAAGTGGGCGTGGGAGGAATATGATCGCAAGGGCACAAAGTGATACAATGAGCATAGGGAGAACAAAAGTTGAAAGAAAAATGTGACAGAAGAAAGACCCTGAAGTAATTCACCTTGTATTCTGTAGAAACCATCCAGATCACTTCAAGGGCGTGCGTGGTATCTGAAACCCACACTGGTGATAGATTGAAGAACTCCACTGCTTTAAGGCTTCATTTGAGACGGCTTTCTTTCTGCTTCTTAAATCAGTTTTTTCGTACAACTAAAAAGCTGTTTTAAGAAGAAGAAAGAAAGCCGTACCAAACGAAACCTAAGTCATCCCTTACATCCATGTGAGGTAAGGTGGCAATTAAATGCGGAGGCCGGTGACTGGGTCTCTTCCGGAGTTGCCCTCTGTGTGTTTTATTGAGAGATTAGAGAACTGAGAATCGATGTCTCTGCTGTTACTTCGACGGTGCGAAGGAACCTCCTGGGGCAGCTTCTGCTGCTGCTGCTGAAACAGTGATCGCAAGCGAGCAATTTCTCTCTCCAGCATGTCTTGTTGGACTGTATCATGCCAAGCAAACAAGGAATGCCATAAACAGCAATGTTAGATTGACCTCGTATAGAATATGTGTATATATGCCCTTCTAACTTGCAGTAGAAACAAAAGCGATATAGAAGATTCTAAGATTTTGTTTGGGAGGGAGGACGGCTTTTTTATTGTTTCTTAATTTTTATACTAGAAAGCTGCTTTAAGAAGCAGTAAGAAAACCGTTCCTAATGAAGCCTAAGTAGACTTTTTTGGGAGATGTCTTGCGAAAAAGGAAAAAGGGCACCTTTCAAAGTATTGCGGCTCATGCAGAATGAAAGATTAGTTGATTCAGGATCACGAAAGTGATAATGTTTAGCTCAAAAGCCACTTTAACAGGCAAGATGATATACTGTTACAGTGAGAGTGAAAAAAAGGAAAATTCTTTTTAGCACATAATAATTGAGATGTGTCTGGTATTCCTACTTTGCCTTACATTTCCTCCGTACGTGAACCATAAAGCACATCAAATTGTGCCGAGTTTCCACGAGTCAACTCAAAGTTATTCATTGTTTTCCACGAGTCAACTCTATTTTTTTGGGTAAAAGTCAACTCTAATTTTTTTCAAGGACAATTATCTGGTCTCTTTCATCATTAATGAAACATAATAATATAATATTCATGAAAGGTAAGATAATCTTTAACTCATTTTTGTATCATTAAATATCATGATTTTTTTTCCATCTTTATATAGTAAGAATTTTACAACTTATTTTATATTTATTCAATTTATGAATTTACAATAGAATGCTTTGAAGTTTGCAAATGTATAATTTATAATGACATGTTAAAAGCATGTTTGTATCCTATCTTTTCAATGATGACCCGTCTCGTATCGTGTCATATCAACACATCATAGTATAATCCACTCTTCGAATATGGAGATCCTTCATATTTAACCTAATTTTACGCTAACACCCCTCAAGCTTCAGCATATAAGCTAAAATATTAGTTAGTTCTAGCTTGTTGCATAAACCATAAAAAGATAGAGGACCTAAAGCATTGCTGAAAATATTAGCTGCTTATACTGAACAAAAAAACACAAAGGATAAAAATCTTCTTGAAAAGCACACAGTCCCAAATGAAATGATAATCAAGTTGAATATATTTGATTCGGTCATGAAATACAAGGTTGTTGGCAATATGTATAGTAATATGATTCCTGCAGTTTAGCATGCCAATTGAGTAACCGAGAAACAAAACTCTTTTAAAAGAGTCTTTGCCCATATCATTTCACATGATGATTAGATAATAGTTCTATATTCGCCCACAATATTGAATCTGGCCATAATAGTTTGTTTCTTACTTTTTTGATCAATTGGGTTATAACTATTATCTAAAAAAAAAAGAAATTTAACACTAACTTCATGTAGAAAATAGAATCAAAATAATCATAAATATTAAATAGTACTTCAAAGTTTAGGTGCTTAGTCTTAATATCTGGTAATCCTTTACAAGGAGACTTCTTGATATGCTAGATAACTCATGGAACAATCTTCCAATGTTTTTGTTTGAAGTTTACATGCACTAATTAATAACTCCAACCATGAATGAGATGTTAGGGCTTGTAATGTACAACAACAACAACAACAACATTAAGCCTTTGTCCCACTACGTGGGGTCGGAGGGCTTGTAATGTAATAATCCAAAATTTAAAAAAAAAATTAACTTGAAAATATGAAAAATTGTGAACTGTAGTACTGTTGCACAAACCTATCGAGTGTTGCATCCTTTGTTCTACAGTAACCAGGATTTCTACATGCAGCGCTACAGAGCAATAGTCTGTAGCGCCATGCTGCCATATACATGATATTTTAATATATATATCGATCTAAATATCCCTCACCACCTCAACAAAACCCCAATTGTAGATGGCTTGCCGAGGAATAAAAGAGAGGAAGAGAGAAAGGGGAGTGAGCAGGAGAAAGAAAGCAGGGGATAACCTTAATCCTAGTGGGAAACTTTTTCATCGCCCCAATTGCAAAAAGTTCCCTGATCATGGTGGGTTATCTTAATCCTAACTCTGTTTTTGATGGTTTTGAGTTTTGTTTATTTTTCTTCTAAATTTGATAAAACAGCAATAGGTATATATATAATTAACATGTGGTGTCAACCCCATGACTATTGAGACCAATTCTTAAGGGATTAACCACATAATTGATGATATTGACCGGTGAATGATGAGATTGATTCTTGTTGGTTTGACACCAGGACTGATGACTGATTCTCGGGGGATTAACAACATGATTGATGAGACAGATATAGATATAAGATACATGATATAAGATATGCATTGCTATATATTTATGTATATATAATACATGGCATAACATGCATAGCAATATTCATATTGATAGACATGACAAAGCATAAAACTTTGATGTAGATACTACAACAACAACAACAATAACATCAAGCCTTTATCCCACTACGTGGGGTCGGCTACATGAATCCTTTTTCTCCATTGTGTCTTGTTAAAAGTCAAATTCTCGTTTAAATCTAATAAAGAAAGGTCATTCCAAATATTTTCTAACCAAGTCTTTTTAGGTCTACCCCTACCTTTCTTAACATAAATCAAATCTAATACCTCTACTCTCCTAACCGGGACGTCATCACAAGGCCGCCGTTTTATGTGACCAAAACCATCTAAGGCGACTTTCTCTAATCTTATCTTCTACTGGAGCTACTCCAACCTTTTCACGTATATGCTCATTCGTATCCTATCTCTAAGGGTAAAGCCACTCAACCACCTGAGCATTTTCATCTCTGTCAAACTTAACTTAGTATTATGCTTCTCTTTTAATGGCCAACATTCGGCACCATAAAGCATTGCAGGCCTCACTACCATCATATAGAATTTTCCCTTAAGTTTGAGGCTTCCATTTCTATCACATACCAAGCCCGATGCATTCCTCCACTTCAACCATCCAACTTGAATTCATCGCTTGCAATTAATAATCCCCATCTATTTCACCATCACTCTGAACAATATGATCAGCAGATATCTAAAATGTGTACTCTTATTAATGACTTGTCGCTCCAAAGTCAGCAATCCCCTCACTAGGTCTATTACTTACTAAAATTACACTCCATATGTTCCGTTTTAGATCTACTCAGCGGAAACCTTAAACTGCTAGGTTGAACCTCCATATATTCAAGTTTTACTTTTCAACACTCCCTCTCTAGTCTTTATCAAACAAGAAGAAATATCATCAGCAAAATAGCATACACCAAGGTACAATCCCTCTTGACGAATGTTCAGCTGAGAACATTCCATGCTAAAGAAAAAAAATATGGGCTTAAGGCTGATCCATTGATTGTACCAACTGAAATAAATAAATTACTTAGCCATCCACCTTGCTGTTTGAAACAAGTAATAGCTTCCATGCATACATATCTTTTAATGATTTGAATATAAGCATTATTGACTCCTTTCTTTTCAGAAATCAGTCTCCATGCACTTCTCTTGGAACTTTATCATATGTTTTTCTAAATCAATTAAAATATCATATGTAGATCCTCTTTATTCTTCTCTAATAATTTTCTCCATCAAAACCTCTTAATAAATGTATGGCTTCCATAGTCCGAACCTACACCGGCCAATGAATCCAAATTGATTTGCCGAAACATAGTATCACGCCGACAAGCTATGCTCCATAACTCGCTCCCATAGTTTTAAAGTTGCATGACACATTAACTTATACCTCATAATCGACATCTATGGTGCAATCACCTTTATTCTTAAAAATAGGAATTAACTACACTCATTCTCACACTCATTGACATCTTTGTTAGTCTTCAAATAGTATTAAAAAGTTTAAGTAAGCTATGATAATTCCTTCATCTCCTAAGCAATTCCAACACATCTAGTTGGAAATATCATCGGTCAACAGCTTTTCCACGCCTTCATTTCTTTAAAGCCCTCTAACTTCAGTTGTTACCTAATACGCCGCGACAAAAACAAGAAATATTTATTTTCATTTAGGGTGCTAAGGCACTATAGTCATCTGTATTTTCACAAATCTTCATTAAAAAAGTTTAGCAATAATATCTCATCCACCTTGTGAATATTCATACTCTAAGAAAAGTATTTTTTTGATCTTCATCCCTTGAATACACTAACACTTGAACTAAATCCTTACTACTGACTATTCTCTTTGTCTAAGGCTAACTTATTACATATACTTTCTCCCTCTTTAGTTACTAATCTTATTATATAGAATCACTAAAAGCTAATTGTCTTTGCATCGCATATTGCTTGTCTTAGCAATCCTTACGAGGCCACTTTATAGATTTCTCAATTATCATAATTTTATAAATTAACCAATTTTTATAATAAAAACTTCTTATTTTTAATCTTTTCTTGCCACATTCTAGATTCACACTCCAACTATTTTACTATTAGAAATTTTTCCCTTTGATAAATACTCCAAGGACATCTTTTGCAATATTCTTAATATCACTATCCACTTTTCCGCACATAATAATTTAGGCATCATCATGCACAGTAAAATCTTGGAAGATCTAAAATTTATTCTCAAAATATTTTTGTTAATTATCTTTAAATGCCCCATCTATTCGCTAAACAAAATAATTTTATTTTATTTTTTATTTTATGCCCCTTTATTCTTAGAAGTCCAAAACTAATAATGAGTGTTGTGTAACATATAATTTCAACTCGAAATACTTTACAATCTTTGCTATAATCGATTTTATGTTTTTAAATAAGAAAATAGTCAATCTGGGTTTGTACTATATCCATTTTTATAAGTGATGAGTATGCTCATTCCTTTTCTTAATAAGGTCATTAGCAATTGAAAAATCATAAGCTAAACAAAAATCCAATATGGTCTTGCCACCTTCATTCGTCGTTCTAAATCCATGGCCACCATGAATGCTTTTAAAAATCATCTACCTCTCTACCAACGTGTCCATTTAAATCTCCTCCAATAAAAACTCTTTTTTCAAGAGGTAT